GAGAGAATTTCTATTTTTAAGAACTACAATCTTTAATCAATGCTGTTAAATGCTATTTTTGTTTCTTAATAAATAAATGCAGTATGTCATAATTACAAGTGTTATAGAAAACACACTTGGAAACAGCCACTCTTATTAATTTAAATAAGCAGATTGTACATTAGGTAATAGAACAACAAAAAAGGCAACGAAGTTTAGAAATTAAAGCTCAGCTTTTCTTTGTTTACAAGAAAGTGAAGTTGGATGTCCCAAGCAACCATTTTCTTTCCACTCCTTTCATGCAATTCAATGTAGTTAATTTAAAGATTGTTTTATTTCCAATGTATTTTTCATACGGTACCTAATATATGTCTAGCTCTCTCCATGATTACTATTTCTCAGATATGCCGTAAGAGAACTTTGATTTTGATTTAAAACAATGTTTTCTGGGAATGCTTCCAACATCAGAAGCAATATGTTATTTTGTAAAAGGGCATTTTGCCAACAAGTTCCTCAGCTACCCAAACACAACCTACACAAATTAGAAGTGCCCCCTAGATGGTTGCAGAGATAGGATTAGACAGTACAAATGCCCCCAAATTATCTTTTCTCTCACAGCTTCTCAACCCTTTCTTGCTAAGTTTCTGGGCTTCTGAAGTGAATCACATGGTCCTTAAACAAATCTGGCTTTCCTCATTAATTTTGCTTGTTGGAAACTAATTGGGAAGGTTGCAAACGGCAATCGTGAGCCTGGAGCACTACAACCCATTGTAAGTACACGCTGGTTGCTAAGTTCCCGGATTTTGATCATGTAGTTATGTTGTAATGGTTTTAAATGCAATGATCATTTGTAAGTCATTTTTTCCAGTGCTGTGGTAAATTTAGTCATTAAACAAAGAGTTGTAAGTCAAGGACCATCTGTATAGAGTAAATAGTTTAATTCAATAACCAGAGCGCATTGCATGTGAATACAACATTTTTGGATTAACAAAATTAGGAGGTCTTCAAGTGAAAATACCCACCTATCAGACATAGTTTGGAAATAATGGCTTCTATGTGTTCTTGACTGTGAATTACAGTCCAGGTTTTTCCATATGTCTCAAAACATAAAATTTCATTGTACTGAAAAGACCTCTTAGAAACTCTCCCATATAAAGGAAAATAGCGGCTTGTAAACAGACTTTGAGAGTGTAGAATCTAATCAGAATGGTCAAACAAATGGCAACTTCAAATCTCAACAAATAAATGCTCTGTCTTACATATCGGCAAAAAAATCAGAAAATATAATACAAGCTGAATAATCAAGACCTTGTTGATGACCCCAACTATGTCAAGAACCTTGGAGTACTCATCTCTAATGATCTAAGTGCTAGAGCCCACTGTAACTACATACCCAAAAAGGCATTAAGAGTTGTTAATCTAATCCTATGTAGCTTCTTCTTTAGTAATATCACACTATTAACTAGAGCATACAAAGCATTTGCTAGACCAAAACTTGAATACAGCTCATCAGTCTGGAATCTGCATTACGTATCTGATATTAATACAGTTGAGAAAGTCCAGAAATATTTCAGAAGAAGAGTTCTACACTCCTACTCGTTGCAGAATACCTTATGCCACCAGACTCAAAATTCTAGACCTAGAAAACCTAGAACTATTGCCTCCAGTCCGATCTAAGTATAGTATATAAAATCATACATTGCAATGTCCTACCTGTCAATGAATACTTCAGCTTCAACCATAACAACACAAGAGCAAACAATAGATACAAACTCAAGGTTAATCGCACCAAACTTGATTGCAGGAGATACGACTTCAGCAACAGAGTGGACAATGTCTGGAATACTCTACCTGACTCTGTGGTTTCTTCCCCAAACCCCCAAAACTTTAACCTTAATCTGTCTACTATTGACCTCATCCCTTTCCTAAGAGGTCTATAGGAGGCGTGCATAAGTGCACCAACGTGCTTACCGTTCCTGTCCTATTGTTTCTTTTTTATTCGTATCCATGTCATGTATTCATAACCATGCTTATACTTATACCTGTTATCTAATACTTGCTTGACAAATAAATAAAATAAATAAATGGGGGGGGGGGGGAAATGAATATCATTCTTCCAGAATCAGCTGCTATGCTAGTTTTGAGATGTCTGAAAAAAGTTGTCTATCTTCTTCAACTCTCTCAGTCATCAGTCCTTTATTACAATCAACGAGTGGTATTGTAGAGAAGTACAAAGGTTTAAAATATACCAGACAAAATAAAACAAAATGCAATGAAAATTGCATGAAGGGTCTGGAGAACTTTACGATGAAGAAAGATATGGCATTTTTGGATTTTTTGTTTAGAAAAGAGAAGATTTGGAGGGGGATATGTTGAGAGTTACAAAAAAAAAAAAAAAATATGGTGTGGATAAAGTGGACATGCTACTTTTCCTTCAACAAAATTAATTAGAAGTTGTGGGATGAATGGCCACTAGTCGTGATGTGAGTATGCCTGTCTCCGAAGAGAGACTGGTGTTGATCACTGTGGGATCAGACTGCTGGACTAAATGGGCCAGGGGTCCAAAGCAACAAACTGCTTATGTGAGACAAAATTTGGGGGAAAAAATACAGGTAGTCCTCAACTTACGACCACAGTTGAGACCAAAATTTCTGTTAAGTGAGGCATTTGTTAAGTGAGTTTTGCCCCCTTTTACGACCTTTCTTGCCCCAGCTGTTAAGTGAATCACTGCAATTGTTCAGTTAGTAACATGGTTGTTAAATGACTGATCGCAAAAGCTGATCACATGACCCTGGTACACTGCAACCATCATCAATACATGCCAGTTGCCAAGCATCTGGATTTTGATCACGTAATCGTGGGGATGCTGCAATGGTCAGAAGTTTGAAAAATGGTCACAAATCACTTTCAATGAAGGAAAATCACTTTTTTTTTCAGTAAAGTTGTACCTTTGAACGGTCACGAAATGAATTGTTGTAAGTTGAAGACCACCCATAATAATATGATTGGATGAGGCTAATGGAGATGGTAGCAACTGAACGAGCCTACCTTAATTCTGCAGAAGAGAGAGACTTCCATCTCCTTTTCCGACTATTGCTGAGTGAACCTTTGCTGCTGTTTCTGAATAGATTGTTTTGGTAATCAGCTCCTTTCATTCTAGATTTCCCTGAAGCTTTTAGAGCCAGAGCCTAGAAATACAGTAAAGGGTCAAATACCCTTCCTTAAGTTGAAAAACGGTCACTTTCCATCTTGTGAATGAAAAACTCTCTTTTCTACTTTCTGTGTCAAACTCATAAGCAAGGCTGGAAGTCTTGGCTACGTGCCCAGGTTTGTTAAAAGGTTTCCTGCCCTTTCTGGGAACAGCCCCATAGAATGTGTCATTTCTTAATCCATTCATAGGAACACAGGAGTGGTTCAGAGACGGTTTTCAAATGGCGTAGATTCTGGCATAAACAACAGGCCATAATAGGCACTGAACACGCTCCACCTACCGTTAGCTACAGCATCTGGAGATTTGCGGAACTGAAAAAGAACACGACCAGCCTCTCTGAGAAGACAGAGTTTACGAACAGCCTCTCCTCAATTTGTCAACAGGAGGGTAAGTTTCTTTCATTGATTCAGGACAATTAAATGCATAAATGCACACACAGCAGTCCCGTTAGAGAAGCCATTTAGCTAAAACGCCTGTGCCTTGTTTGCTGGGAAGGAGCACTTTCCCATTCATGTTATACAGCTCTCTTTAAGTGATCCAGATGAATTCTGGAGGCTATTTTTTCACTCGGAGGACATTGTGTTCTCCTTACATAATGCAATAGAGGAAAAGCAAGAGGCGGTGGAAGCATCTGAAACTTCTACCGAGGGTGCTCTGCAATTTAAGGGCAATCAAAACAACCACTTCTGTTAAAAAGGCATTGTGAGTGTCTTTAATCTGGTGTATTTTGTTGACGAGCAGCCACTATATTTTGGAATTTCCCCGGACAGAGAAACAGAGACTGTTTTGATAGATAGAAGGGAAGCAGGATGTTCCTGCTGGCTCAGCATGATTGCCTACACTGTCTTTTTGATAGAGCAAAGCTCCTCTTAAATGAAAAGGAAATGGAGGAAGAAAAGAATCACAACATCAAAAGTAATTCTGGGTGGGATGCAGGCACGTTCTTAAGATTTGTGTGTGTGTGTGTGTGTGTGTGTGTGTGTGTGTGTGTGTGTGTACAAATCGGCCTGCCAAGATGCTTCTAACTGTTGGGGAAAGAGGGAACATCCTCTTCCCATTTATATATAAGTAGTTTCAAGGGGGAGACAAATTATGTTTTGATTTGGTTGATGGAACATAGAATAACAGGGTTGGAAAGAACCATGGAGGTCTTTTAACCCAATCCTACATCATTCTGAAATGAAAGTTGGCACTTAGTTTGCATGATTTGGCACAGTGATATGATCAGCAATGGTATTAGGCATGAAAAGGACACCTGCCTTTATCAATAGATCTATAGTTTGGACCATATCCAACTGCAGGTTTTTTTATTTTCTACCTAGTCGTTCTTTCCGTTAATTCTGAGGTGATGAAAATTGGAGCAAGTTGGTAGCACCTTCTTGCACTAGTTGTTCTACATTATCAGATTATTCTGTTTCTGACAACTGGGCATGATGCAAGATGGAAAAGCCTAGCCCATTTTGAAATATCTTCCCTACCATGGGTGACTATGTTATATAGCATTTACTTTTACAAATCCTTGGTAGATCCTCACCTCTTTCAAATGAATTGTTGTCATTTTAAAAATGGGTTGGTAGGATCCTAAAGCAACAGACTTAAGCAACAACCTAAAAAACCAATTCATGCGCTAATACTGTGCTCATCTGTAGCTCCTATGGAAAGTTGAAAACAATACCAGAAAGCAACATGGTATGAGTTCAACAGACTTTTGTAGGTGCAATTCACTTTTTCAGCCCCAATCACTTAATTGATTCATTCCCTTGTTGTGAAACATTTTGGTACAAATAATGACTTTAAACACATGGTCTGGCACTCATGAAAAGATTTCATGGGACAGCATGCACCTTTTCCCCCCTTCTTCCTGTGTGCTGAGAAATAATTTTTAGGAAATCAAGTTTGGAACTCTTAGTCAGCAACAAACCTCAGGACCTGTTTTTATTCCACTTATTCTGCTGAAGACATAAAGAAGTTTCTGGATGCTAAAAAAGGATGAGGGGAAAAGAATGCTCTTAGTTCTCCCCAAAATTTGGATTTGATCAGAAAGAACTCATAGAGCAATTTAGAATAGAATAGAATAACAGAGTTGGAAGGCACCTTGGAGGTCTTCTAGTCCAACCCCCTGCTTGTGAGAGGAAATCCTATACCATTCCAAACAAATCGCTGTCCAGTCTCTTCTCAGAAACTTCCAGTGATGAAGCATCCACAACCTCCAGAGGCAAACTGTTCCACTGATTAATTGTTTTCACTATCAGGAAATTTATACTTAAATCTAGGTTGGATTTCTCTTTGATAATCTTCCACCCATTATTTCTTGTCCTGTCGTCAGGTGCTCTGGAGAATAGATTGACCCCCTCTTCCCTGTGATAGCCTCTCATATAATGGAAGTCTACTATGACATCATCTCTAATCCTTCTCTTGTTAGACGAGACATAACTTGTTTCCTCAATCGTTCATCATGTATAGCTTTGCATATTAATGTAGGCTATGAGCAGGTTGTGGAAAATATTTGCTTTAATTGTCATTAGAGTCCACATTTATTTGAGGTGTGGGAGATATATTTTAAAGAAAATAAATACTCTAATATTCTTCTCCCCTTTCTTCATAGAATTCATAGCAATTTATAGATCCTAGAAATTTACAATGTCAGACTGTTTAAGGATTTCCTAAAATTGTTTTTTTTTGAGTATATAAAGTTATGTACTCTAAAACTCTTCATTTAGGATGACTTTTTCATTTTCCAATTCAATTACTGAAGTTTAATATTAGAAGATATTATTTCAAGAATTGGGATAAGGAAAACAAAAGGAACCGTAAAATTTTCAGAACATGATGCCCAGAACTTCATACATTAATAAAAACTTATAGCTAAATAGCTATTTTTTTTCTAGAGCAGGTCTGATTTTCTAGATTGATTTTCCTTCACTTTGTATGCTGTACCAGGTCATTAGAATGTTCTTAATTTTTTTGTAATGCTTGCAACATGCTTGCTCACATGGTTTATAGATAAAGACATCCTGGCCGAAAATTGCAAAATAAATGTGTCACAGTGAAAAAACATGACTTTGCAGTTTAAGAGAAGAAATTATTGATCAAGTTGTGCAACATAAAGTGTAACATTCCTTCTCCCATTAGTTTATTTTTCTAGTGAAGCAATTATGGAAATGAAACACTGAGATGAGAGGCTTAAAGAATACAAAGAAACAAAAAACCTCCTAAAACTTTTTACCACAACACATTAAAGGTTAAGCAAGATAATATATATTTTTTCCAGATCTGTTGCACTTGATTTATCATTTTGATCTGTGAATGAGATGTTCTAACCCTAACCCTCCCCTTCCCTCCCCTGTCCCCTTTCCCTTCCCTCCTATATTGTTATGCCTTCCAGGAGTTCAAAGAGAAGTTTACAAAGGAATAATATAAGCTTACTTACATAAAAATATACACAAGAAGCAAGTATTTAAACAATGAATTCAGAACTAAAACATGCACAGTAAAAAGAAAACAATATAAGTAATTGTATTAAGTAAACAAAGACTGTTTATTGAGCATTCACATGCATGTATGCTATGGATTTCGGCTTTATATTAGAATACTGATGAGATTCTTCTGCTTAAGTTGACACACAGCAGCCTGTTACACTGTCCTCCCATGATTCCTGAAAGAGCTCAGAGCAACTTACAGGAGTCAGATTAACAGAGAGCATGCAGTTGTGGCTGAATATAAATTTTGTACATGAGCCAAAAAACTCCAAGTTTATGGGAGTTCAGATTTGGCAGGATCACTGAGTACATCTGTTGTTGCTTCACAAATTGATAAGTGTTGATTAAGACAGAAGCCATCTTCCTCCTCCTCCTTTGTAGGATAACACCAGAAGCAAATGTTAAAATAGAGAAAATTGTTAACAATATCAAAATGTATTGAGCCTACAGATTGATGAGTTGAGAAGGAGAATTGACTAGACTCAAGCTTAGAAGAAAGGCAGGGATCCAATTTTCCAAGCGATGGTCGTCTCTTCTGGCTGAAGTCTTCCTGTATTTGAAGGAACTGACTAAATATAAACACTTAACATCGAAATCTGGTCAAAACCTGACTGTGCAGCCTTGCATGGGGGGACACAGAGGCTCACACAATTGTGTGGTGGGTTGGCCCCATTAGAACCTTCCCCGTCTGTTTTAACAACTGCTAATCTCCATCTTGGAATGTTTCACCTTTTGAAATTTTATAATGTTATTTTTATAATTTTACACTTTTTAACCTTAAATTATTCTGATTTCAATTTTATTGATTATATTGTACACTGCCCAAATCTTCTCTCTGAGGGATATAAGTGGTAAAGAAATATGAAAAATAAATACATGAATAAATAAAATAAAAATAATTTCAGTGGCAAGACTTTCACTCGAAGCATGCAAAATAATTTGAGAAGAACAGGTTTCCATACTGTTTAGGTGCTCTATACTCACTAAGCATATGACAAATGAGATAGGATAGGATAGTACAATGTCCACTGTAACTGCAGAAGATGTGCTAAAGAATGCTAGAAGGATGTCCTTCAATATCACCTAATTATTGGCATAACCTACTGTTGTTGTTTGATTTACTCTATCTTTTGTGGGAAAATGTACACAGCTCAAGCCATAATTTCTTTCTATAAATTCTTTATAAAATAAATTAAATTCTACCTATGTATTCTTTGGGGATAAGAAGATGCCTCTCCTTGTACTTAAAATTCACTGGGATTGGCATTTAGTCCATTTTCAGAACTTCAGAGAATTTAATGTAGTTCAATGTCATAACCTTTTCTGATGAGTTTCATTATTGTCTCTCAAGGCATGGAGATTGGCACTGCATGGAAATGATAATTGCCCCAAATATCAGCAATTATACCATGGGTGGGAGGTAGGTGGGGAAAACACAATGATTTGTGTGTGCGTGGAGGGGTAGATTGACACATTTGTTGTGTTTTCTGTGAATGTAAGAAAAATCACTCTGATGGGAAATAAAGACTATGTTGGTCCACCATCTGATACAGCCTTCTTCATTATGGTCAAATGTTCTGTATTAAATTTGCTGTTTTGTTCTGCATCAATATCTCTTATTTCTGCTCTGTTGCTCTTCCTTTCAAGATGTGCAAATGACAACCCAAGTAAAGAGCTCAAGAAAGAAGGCTTTCATTTAGGTCTAACAAACAAAACTAGAGAGAGACAGGATGCAAATTAGACTCTTTTTGGCAATAAAGACTTGAAATCAAGTCTCTAGATATCATGGAATGAAGTTTGGGCATTTGAAAATGATCCCAAAAACTTAAGGAGTTATGGAGGATAATGGGAAGTCTTTGTTTGAAAATGAAAATTCATATTTCTGACTTCTCTTACTGTTGTCCAAGCACATAGGTATAAAAAGGCTTTCTTTTTCATTTTTTTTAAATCAGTCCATTGTAGAAGAAAACAGGATATGAAGCAGGGCCATTTAACCAAATCTGCTGAAAAGCCAGCTCAAGGAATTGCTTTATTCTCTCTTCCCTTAAAGTTTCGCAAATTCTGAAATATCTACTCTATTCTAAACCTGTCATTCGTTATTATTTTGAATGCAAGGCATTCTGGAAGCATTTCTTATTGAAAATCAGGATTAAATATCATTAAGTAAATACATGTAAATTTTATAAAGAAAATCTTGAATCCAGAAATGCAAATATATGTAATCTGCATGAGCAAGTCACACTTTTACGTGGAATAGGAGAATTACTAAGAACTAGAAACAGATCTGGCATTTGGAAGATTTTTTTTTTTTTTGGTGCCTTTGAGTCTGTGCTGTCACCTGGTAACAGCCTGGAGTAAGTATCTCTATTTTCCTTGGCAAGAGTTTCAGAAGAGGTTTGTCCTTGCCTTCCTTCTTATTATAGAATCATAGAATAACAGAGTTGGAAGGGACCTTGGAGGTCATCTAGTCCAACCCTCTGCTCGAGCAGGAGAGTCTTCTTCTAAGGATTGACTGGCCCAAGGTTATCCAGCTGGGTTTGTTTAATCTTGCAGTTTGAACTTTTACATTTCCATTGATTCCTGGACTATGGGCAAAAGCTTATGTATTACATTGAAGTAGATGTGAGGGTTGTGTTGTAGAAAGCCACCCGCCTCCTAAAAGAATGAAATATTTAAGAATTAGGCTTACGTGAGCTTTTATACCCCCCATCCCCAGTTGTATAACTACCTAATCTTTTTTGCAATTTTCATGTGATTGCAGAAGCATGTAATTCTCCTGTTTTTTTGGTAATTTCCTTATCAAAGCTAATTGGTTAAGGAAGACAAGAGGCTCTACAATCTCTTTTGACTGCTCATTCTATAAGCTGTTTGTCATGAATAATTTTGGAGAAAACACTGCTCTCCTTGGTGCCTATGGAGATTCTCAGCCATCCAGGTGTTGGTTGTCCCAAAGGTGCTTTTTCAAGTCCATCTGCATTTAAAATACACGGCACTCTTTTGAAGACAACAAAGTCCATATTTTGGACAGAGAGGACCACTGGTTTGAAAAAGGGGTTAAAGAGGCCATCTTTGTCAAAATTGAACAGCCCTCTCTCAATGGGGGATGGGGGGAAGGGGGGAGGGATATGACATCATCTACCTCCAATCTACAACACAGTCCTTTCAATAGTTCCAAGAAGGCTCCACGCCAATTTGCACCACTCAGGGGACCCTGACGACACAGATAAACCTCCAGGTGGCCTTAATGACTTGCTAAAAGAATGCAAACAACCAGCTGCCTGCAAGGAGTATAAATCCTTCCCTTCCCCACCATCCAGTCAGAGCTGAAGAAGCTTCTTGGGTGAGAAGCAAAATGTCTTCAAAGAAAAACCTGTCAGCCTTCAAGATTTTCTCCCTTTGCTTTGCATCTTTCGGCTATCATAAGTAACGGGGGGAGGAGGGGGGAATGGTTGTGGGAAGTGAGCTGGAGGTGTTACAAACCAGAACTGTATAAACTGGGGGGGGGGGTGTACATTCTTGCTTAGGTTTCTATCCTATGCTATGCATAGCTGCAACCCTTTATCAAAATATGTCAAGGTCAACGGACAGAGGCCTCATCACCACCTGGAGATGCCCACATGATGATCTACACAACTTTTAATGGAATGAGCCAATTGAACTATCGGGGGTGGGAACGTTGCCATTCCTTTGTATATGTGATTTACGTACCCATTTTCTCAGATTCAGAATTCTTTTGTTGCTACCACTTGATTTCCAGTAAAAGATATATTTTCTCTGATTAAAGGAGTCTAAGTATTTCTTTCTTGGATTTTGAATGGAGCACCAGCTGACAAAACCAGAAAGTCTAGTCACCTGTTGAAAAAGCACCTTTGAGACTGCTCTCCTTGATAAATTTGTATCATTTATGTCACATTTGCATGAGTTTCAAACTAGATGTCTTCCCCATTTTATCTTGCAGAACTGTCATCATGGGAAAATTCCTGTTGGCCTCCTCAATCGTGATTCTCTTCATTTTGCTCCAGACTGAGGAGATTGTCTCCATTTCTAAAAAAGGAAGCAGCAGACTGAGCAGCAGCAGCAGTCGAAAGCCAAGTCGCAAACCCTCCCATCATCCTAGCAAACCTTCCCATCACCCTAGCAAACCCTCACATCATCCTGTCAAGCCTGCAGAGAGACCTAGAAAACCAGCACAGAACCCACCTGAACACAGGCCTGCCCATAATGCACCCCCAAACAGGCCTGAAAATCCTGTAAAACATCCTCCAAATCATGCAAACCCTCCTCCACATCCACACCATAATCCTGCCAATCCACAAAATCCAGGACACCCTCCACCTTATCCTGTCAACCCTCAAAATCCTGCCCACCCCCCAAATAATCCTGTTAACCCAGGAAATCCCCCTCC